ATATCTCATCCCAGATATCTCACCTGCGGCAATCGGGCTTGCGCGGTCTAAATTTCTTGCTGCTCTGTAAGAACAGCAGCAGGATAAATTGATCCGAGCTGTTTAAAAATTGTTTAATCAGCTTTTACCTCATCTTTCACGCAGTTCCAAATGACCGAAATAATTTACTCAACTGTTCCATTGCAAATACGGCACTCATAAAAAGGAACAGCAGAGAGCAACTGGAACCGAATGCGGTCTTCATCAGCGGTATTTATCCAGAACGAGTGGGCACAGTTACGGCTGTTGATGTTTGAGTAAAGAAATCTTCAGATAAGAAAAAAAACGGGATGCAATTAACGGTGGCAGGAAGTGGAGAAAACCTCGAGTACGGCAATTGCTCCTTGCTGATATCTGCCGTAATCAACAAGTGGGAATCAAAACGTTAGCTAAAAAAGGACAATTTCTGGAATAATTTTACTCTCCTTCTGAAAAAAAACTTTAATTAACACTTGAATGCTGCTGATTCAGTTTTCAGTAAGATATTTTCCAAAGAAGCTTGTGGAATCGTCATTGTTTTAACTGATAGCCTCCAATATGACGAATTTCCGAACAGAACAACTCCTTAGGTATGATTTAGGTCAGGTAAAAAGTCGTTAACTCACCTGGAACCCAGCTAAATCTCTCTTTTGTGATGTTTTCAGGAAATTGAATGTGCTGCACCAGGCCGCCCCATGTTTCAGTCGCCACGATATTCGAGATAACGCGATACATGTATATTTGTAATACACTACTCATTAGGTTGCTGAAAATCCGTCGACAGCCCATGACCGGTTTCGGCCTTTTTGGGGCTCATCACGTAGGCGCAGTTCCCGGATTTCCGTGGCGGGCGATCGATAAACAATGTGCGACTAACCTTTAAAAGCTTTTATACCAGAAATGAAAACTTGTTTATAAAAACAAAGTTGTAACAATTCGCAGGCGGGCGTCAGGAAGAGGTGAACAGCAGAATACCGAGGGTGAATGGACGTGTGATCAGGGGATTTAAACCTTGATCTTGGTTCTACCATTGGTTATGATAAACATTTACACAGGAAATATACACTGATTTAACAGGTTGATGTTCTTTTTCAAGATTTATTATGTTTCCTAAAGTGGATGTAGGAGTTTGATCAGCTGACCGATCACCAGTTCATGCTTATTGACCACTGATTTCCATGCAGTAACTTTTGCGTTATAGGTTTTGAATCTCTACTAGATTTACAGTAGCTATGTTGGAGAAATTCCTCTCTTACTATATGCGACCTGTTCGTTTTGGCATGAAGTTTCTCTTCCTTCTGCTGATAACTTTGGAAGACATTCAATTGCTGTACGACCACAATGACATTGTGGGTATAACTTTAGTCGGTGGTCAACAATAAGGGTCTGAAAGCTGGCAGCTTGCAGACGCCGAAGTTCAAAACGTCATTTCAAGGAAGAGTCTTGATGACGTATTGTTTGGCCGTTTGTTGCTTAAACAGACTTTTGCTGAAAACCCACTACGTTAACACAGTCCATTGGCCTTAAAAAGCGAGGTAACTGGTTTTCCACATGGGTTTGAACTTATCCGTAGCATCAAAAATTGGTGGAAATCGACTAGTGACCACTTAAAGTGGGCTGTTCCAACTGGGTCGGTGTGCATACTGAGATGGCGCTTGAGAACTGAGTGGATTTGCCTCTTTATGTAGAAACTTGATTCCGATTGAGCGGGTGAGTTCATCTCCCCATTGATCTGGCGAGTGGACGGTGAAAATGCTAATGTGTTTGTAAGTATGAGCTGCATGTTGAGGACCCGCGTCGGTTACTGCCAAGGTTTCAACTTACTACGGAAAAGGGTGTGCGAGTAAACCAATTCACAAGGCTAGCTCTGTAATGTACTACTCATAAGGTTGATGAAAATCCGTCGGCAGCTCACGACTGGTTTCGTCCTTTTTAGGGCTCATCAGGTAGGTGCACTCCCCGGGTTTCCACATTGTCTCACTCCGGGTTTCTGGATTATCTCCATCAATTCAGATGACATATCGGAGGCATATCAAAGTCTAGGGCTTGTACACACGGACAGAAGTATGAAAAGATTGGGTTGTGACACCAAATTTCTTCAAATCAAAATGCTCCCCAACCAAACGAGCGCTTCACGAATCCATGTACCAATGTCTCTCAACGACTGCATCGCGTGCATACTGCTAAGCGATTTCACAGATTCTATCAACAGCAATCTCGCCTGCAGGATCCGTTCTTTGGGTTGAAATATTAAAAAAAATCTACTTATGAGTGGCATCTAATATTCGGATGATAGCCAATGGGATAGCATTTTGCACGCATTCGTTTTATCTCGGTAACATCCCTGCCGCTAACCAGACGACTAGTTAGAATTCAGGCTTGCAGACGTCAAAAGATAGCGTCGCATTTTGGAGCTTCCAAATTACATCTAAAAAAACATCCCCAAAACCCAAAAATCCCTTCCTATCGTGCCTACACTGCCATACGGACGGCATTACTGCCTTGCATACAAACTGTCAACCCATTTCCTCTAGATCGCCTGAGTAAGACTATGGGCGGACCGTAAAATAATCTAATCAAGTTGTCCTGAAGTTGGAATTTTGCAGAATCGAACGCAATTGAGTGGGCTAGATAAGCCATGCGGAATGCAAGCTATCGAGATGCATTTCAAAAGAGTTGTTTTATGGACAGCTGAAGCTGGGTCTGAGAGGTCAGAAAAACCGAAAATACGTTATAGCAATGTACTTAGGCGAGCGAGAAAGGTTGAGAATGTGCCTGGTGGGAGGTCTTACATCGTGCCTTGAAGCATTCTAAGAGGAAGCTTTTCCCGGCACTAGAATATAAGGGCAAGTTTCCTAAGCAGAGTTCATAATAACGCTAGCAAAACTATGGAGTTGCCAATATGTTGGACTCATCTGCATAAACAATCTTGTACTTGTCCATTTTCTCCCCCAACACGTCATGGGGCCAAAGGGGGATTTTGAGTGCAGTTTACTTCTAAAGACAAATCGTTAAAATCTTAGGGAAACTTCAACAGCTTTTTGGCCATGACTCTCATGCCGGTCGGTCTTCGAAACCCCAGCAAACGTGGCTGCATGATACTGTGCCGGAGAAGTAATATACTGTGGTGAAACTTAAAGAACGTGACCTGCGACGATGGTCACCCGCCTACCCGGGCGGGTTGACTGCTCCGAACAAGCTTTTGCCACTTTGTTCGCAGATCTTATTATTCCCGATCCGTACTGAAATCACGCGCAAGTAATCTGTGTTATTGTAACTACGCTGATGGTTCCAGTGTCCGAAAACCTTTGACAGGTGAATTCTTATGATGGATAAAACACCCCTTAGATTTCGGCTTGAAGTTAAGCCAAAGTACACACAATGTGAACAGAAACAAAAGCCGTTTGAGCAAATTATCCCCGAAATTCTGAGCATCTTAGCCGGGTGGTGAGAAATGCAGTCGGTTTGGCCCTGTCTACCCTAAAATCACCGCAACACTTCGCCAAACTAACAATGCATTGGAAGTCATTTTGGACGTTTATAAACAAGTTTCTCCAGTTGATTTGTTAAGCATGTCCTCTATAGGATAAGCGCATCTTTGGAGGAACAAACGCACACCATTTCTGACCTAATATTCCCCGTTTATATTTGAGGTTTTCTTTCCCGCTGACACAAGCATTGGACGACTGAGGGCCTGCTATATACAGCTTTTCGCCAAATGAATAAACACTTTTTGTCAATTCAGGTAGACAGAGAAACACGTTGGTAGTGAATATACAATCTGACTTACATGTTGATGAAGGTAGATACAAATACACTTTCTTATACTCCGGCGAATTAATTAGTTATACAACAGTCAGTGCTGCAGCAAATACGTGAATGACGCCGTCTTTGGAACGGTCGCCACGATATTCGGTGTTTATATGGGTGTTTAGCATAGTACACAGGACTTCTGAGGAATTCTGAGATGCAATTTTCTCATTGCATCCAGCTTTTTCAAATAATTTAGATGCCTTTTAGGTGGTTGGAGTGATAAATATGGAGCAACGGTAAGTCATCGTTGTAAGCTGCGGTTCCATTCCTCTTTTACAACATTCAAAATCATGTCACAAGATCTATATTATCTTCCCGGTAAAAATTAAAAGAGTAAACGTTTTTAACGAAATGCCTTCAGTTGCAAATAAATTTGGTTTCGCGGGAAACTCACCTGGAACCCAACTGAATCTCTCGTTTGTCATGTTTCCAGACAACTAATTTGCTGCACCAGGCCGCCTCATGTTTCAGTTGCTACCATATCCCGATATACGTTGCATGGGAAATCACAAACGAGAGATTCAGCTGGGCTCCAGGTGAGTGTAGCGCGTTTCGCATAAACGTTTTTTTAAGTTTCAAAGCATTACGAAAAATCTCAGGGTCCTAGAAACGGGCTTTGCATTACTTTGAGACCAGTCAATGGCTTACTCGATGTTTGTGTTCCTTGGATTGCCAAGGAACCGCAAAACTGAAAAGCTCCTCAAAACTACGGTCTGTTGGACTTCTTCACTTTTATTTGTAACGATGTTTCACAAAATATTCATTCCTAAATGATTGTTTCCGAACGTTCTCTTACTTGCTTAGTTCACCAATGCCTATGTTTACTTTGGGAGGACGTGCAGTGAGAATGCAAACGGTTTTGGTAACCGGTGCTGACATAAAAATCCGGATATTTCTCGTCCTCTCGTGTCAGTTTAATCTACCCGAAGCCTCAGGATCACTAAAAGACAGTGTGTGCTGTGACTTGATTTGCACTCCAACAAGTCATTTATTTTGCTCACATAGTGCTGGGGTACAATCTTACCAACTCTCAGTTCTGTCGTACATTAAAGTCAAAATGAATGCATTTGGATGCGGACAAGAATAGGTCGTACAATAATTGTGATAAAAAACAATGGTTAATCACATGGAGAAGCTCTGCGTGGTCAGACATCAAAAATGGAACAAAGTTATTCGATGTTTGTGTTGTCGAAATCACTGGCCACCGAGTGAATAACATGTGGAGCGACTTCTAAATGCTGCGGGTTATGTTCTTCACGTCCGGGGAGTGCGGCAAGGTTGACCGCTTGCGACAAGATACTTAGGGACGAGCGTATAGACACTGTGGTTGTTTGCAGTCCAGGTCTGGACCCCGGGCATATCCCGTGACAAGCGAAAAGATGTCTCAAATATCGATGATAGACGGAACAGGTAGCGATGAGTAGGAGAGGACCGGTTACCGCATTAGATAGCGCGATCAACATGGAGAAATCCAAAAAGATTTCCATGGCCTCATTATTTAGTTTGAACGCTCCGATAAGCAGGTTTGCAATGTGATTCGGAGTCCAAGACAGAACGAATAATGCGGCCATTAGCACACAAAGTCGGGTTAGTCGTTGTCTTCTTCTAGTCCATGCCACTGTGTTCTGGTGTCCCATCAGCACCAGGAGTCGCTGTGATTGTTTCAAGTGTACGGTGATCACGTGTTGACTTACACAGACCACAAATAAAGGAATGAGATAGATAGTGAAGATGAGCACCAGATCAAAAGTAAGCTGAGCTTCTCTGCTCCATGTGTCTCTGGAAGAACAAGTGAAAAACAGAGAGCTTTTTAGATCTTAGTAACAGGGGAGTTGAGAGCACTTGTGTCGGGAACATCATGGTGCCATAATATCTTGTGGGCGCCTTAAAAGAGTGAATCACCCTAAACACGACACGCACCAATCACGAGACAGCATACATTACAGCAGCACCAGCCTCAGTTAAATAGCAAAGGCTCTGCATTCTGCACTGCACTTAAGCAACGAGCAATTGAGGAAATCGTTGAAGGCAGGTGGTGAATGCCTCAAGAAATTTTAGGGGGCCTGAAGGCGACATGATTTCGAAATGGTTTTGTTTATATTTACCCTCTGAGCATGCATATAAGTATAACCTTAAATCAGAAGAAGTCTGATTAACAAACACTTTTGACGGTGATGTTGCTAAGAGAAAGACCTGGGGACACCTTTGACCATTTTAAACTGATTGAAAAAAGTGATAAAATGAACCCGGCATTCATTTACCCAGACATCTTTTGGTGTGCTATGTCTATCGAACAAAGTTACGACTGAAGTCCAACAGTGTAACTAACCGGCCTCTGTCGAGTGAAAGATCTAGATCACAACAGACACATTGTTAAGTCAGTCAGCCAGTGAGCAAGTGCCACCACGTGAATGATGCGCTCAAATAACCGGTATGTGTGAACCAATGAAATTAGTGATATGAGATTGATCAACACTCATGCGTGCATCCAATCCAAACTGAAGATAAAGACTAGAATTATTTCACCACAACGCTGCGTGGTCATTCTTAAAATGTGCACAACGGTTCAAACGGGTTATTCAGTCAACCAATATGGACTAGCGCATAGATATTCTTGACCACATAATGAACTAAACGAAGGGATGAATTTCGAAATGGAAGTTCCCCAATTTCCTCGTGCTATCGACAACAAAACATATAGGATCCCATTAAATCATATGATCTCGATCGACTGGTCCTTGTGTTGAATGGTGTACAAACTGGATTGCTTGAGCGTAAGCAGCTTAGGTACTGTATCTTGGACAAAGAGTTGTATGCGGATATTAGGCAGAAAGTTCTTACTCTTCTGTCGAACATCTGGCAGGGCGGTGGAAAGTGGTACATTGGTGCACATTCTGGTCCCCAACTTGTCCATTTGTTCAGCTTTGTGAATATAGCTCATATGTTAACTGATTCACAGTCACGTCACTCTCAATTTAGCTTAATTAACGTGACGAAATGAGATGAACATTTTCATCGAAACCCTAATAAGTTTAGTTTTAGACTGCATCCTTTCTGTGACTAGGAATTTTTGCCCCCTAATCTCACCAAAGGACCCAAAAACAAAGATGAATGAAATCGCTTTGGGTAGATTATTAACTTGGTTGTGACGGACAAGAAACGCAGTTGTGGGATCAGATCAGTTGTCGTCAGACTTTAGGGGAATCTCCTTGTATATGATATTGCGTCGGGTGATGGGCAAATCACCTACTATAAACGACCGAAGAAAGGTCATTTCTACACTTATCGAAGCGCAAAAAAGGTTCCAGAAACATTTTCGCAACCATGAAGCTCGTCAAGGTTGCATTTTCAGCAAGGAATATACACCCAAGGGTACCGGAAATCCGAGAATCAATGTGGTGCTTCGAGAAAAATTTGTAAACCTTGGTCATTTGGACTAAATTTTGATATTCGGCGGTAGCTAGTTCACTCAATCTACCTCATGGGGACGGCTGAATGTAGCTCCTTGTTTCGGCATGACTCTAAAGTACTTCTAACTGCAGTATACTGGTTCATGAGTTTTAATCACTCTGTGATCTTTTGAAATTCTGAGGTAGAGTACTTGAATTAATCGATCCGTTCACATGTCCCGACGCCTTTTAAAACAAGGCCGTACTAATCGCACCTTGTTTTTAATCCCTATTTCTTTTAAGCGTTAATTATTTCACCTTTTCTGTTTCTCACCCTTGAGTTTTGTCCTGTGAGAGAAGGGCCAGCATTCATCCATGGTTTACTGCTCTGGAAGCTGACGATTCAGATGATGTTGATAAATCTGAGGAGTTACGGCTCCACGAATAAAACATTGTTTCAATTAGCAAGCGCTAAATATTATATTTATCCTCATTGTTTTTATTTTTTACGGTGAATTATTGTAGCGTTTTTAAGAGCACTTTTGCTCTATCTAATATGCAGGAACGTGTAAACCTGTTTTCTATAAACTATAACTAGAATTCGACTTGATCAAACGAAATCGAACACTACGGTGTAAAATTTTGCGTGTCCTTTCTTATTCTGGAACAGCTAACAAAGGGGTTCGGTTCATTTACAACGACAATAAGGACTTCGGAAGGCTTGCTGGATTCACCGAACTCCCTGTAGTCTCACTAGCCACCTTCCAGATTAAGAATCATCTGAGCAATCGAGGGGATTGTGATCAATAGTCATTTATCCGACTAGTGGATTTTCGGTTGTAGTTGAGGCGGTCAGCGGGCGCAATGTGAGACCTGTACTGGAGGTTTATGTTGTTTGATTTCTGCGAAGCCTTAGTGTTTAGACAACGTCACACTTGGGATTTTCTACTGTTTTTCTAATTTGAGAATCCCCCTTCTCATTCATACTATAGACGCTTAGACGACGCGTCTGGAGGAGATATTTCGTTTTTTGGGGGCTTGTGAATGCATAGAAATGAATAAATCAGATAAGTGATGGGAATACAGGAATACACAGCCTACATTAGTATGTTACTAGTAGGCTTCTGATCTGCGAAGTAGAATCCACGCGATTATTGGATGCACCAACGGTAGAACAAAGACGTGCTGGCTTCAAGTCTACAATGTCCACCATTCTACCCATACTCGGAGCAAATTTGTTGGATGAAAACCCGTCTTTCCTAATGCCTCCAATTATCTGATAAACAAGCGTCTTTCATTTGCACAAGTTACTATCCCAGGTCGCGTGGTATATGCATCTTCAGAGGCAGCTTCGTATACTGGTATTTACTTATGGGACGGGTGCAACATCTTCTAACAGCTTCATGTTTTAAGGGGCAAACAGTTGTTTTTTGTCTCAACTATTTCGTCCTTTGGTATATTTTCTTCCCATCTGCTGGTAACTCACATGTGAAAAAGCGATAAATCAAAGTTACCACTTGATTGTTTTTCAACATCAGTCGCGACGTACTGAGGTCAGCATCGATACCTGTCAAACAGATGGTCAATCAATCCATAAACTAGGCCATTGCGTTTGTCAGATCATCCAGAAAATAACTCTGCCTCTTTCTTCTTGCAATTAAGTAAAGGAAATGTAAATGTGTATTCAAATTTGAGAGCACCAGAGGCCGAAGAACTGTAAAGAACATACTGCAAATTGAAGGTTTTTCATAGTGACCAAAGTGGAGTCTATAACAATTTCTACTAAGCTATCCATAGTCCCTCACCTTCAAACGAAAAAGCATCAAAAGAGTGCTACTGTTTCAAACTGCGTTTTGCGGAACATCTGTGTTCATAACGGAGATGAATTTCAGATAATAAACAAAAAACGTGAGTGTCCATTGACGGAATTTAGAAAACAACTGGTGGGAACGGGCTGAAATCTGTGGCTAATTCTTTTGACTATTTGATTAACTTTTGCTTGTATGGATTCAGTTCAAGCTCTGTTGTTTTCCTAACTTTGGATTTTGATAACATTGATTATCATAACTGGGGCCTATCTTCAGCCTTATTTAGTGGTATGATTAACATTAAATATGATCCAGTGCAATGGGATTGAGTATTCGTCAGCTTAGCTGACTTCTGATAGTTCAGGTTCACAGTCTACAATAAGCGTCCTTCGCAGAAACCTTAAGATTCAGGTTTGAAAGATCTGCTGAAGATTCCTCAGAATATTACGACCCTGTTCGGATAGGCTGATTCAAAGTGATCATTTCAGAGTGTCCCCAGACTGTATAGAATCAAGCATTTTTCGTATTGTGCTTCCGAGGTGCCAAAAACATGAACTTTTTCGAATTGTAGTTCGATGAAATCTTACGCACAATCTTGGGGGGCACTGACATTCAAGTTTCCATTCACTCATCATCCCGCGGTCTGGCTCTAGAACTTCACGAAATTTGGTTGATACTAACAAGCAAGTCAACGGACGTTTTCGAATATACTACTAGTCCTTCTACTGTTTCTTGCAGAAACAGGTGAACATATTTGCTTCAAAGGTAGTAGCAGTAAGCTTGAGTGCTGTGGTGAGAAAATTTTCCTTGAATTGAGAAGCATCTTATTGTAAAATTTGGATTTCCTCGTTAGTTTTGGCCCCGAAGTTAGTGAACTGGTACCATGAGGGGCGAACTCTTCAGAGCTGCTTGATTCACGAAGTAAGGTAGTCATTTAATACGTGTGGCAACAAAAAAGCTGGTCGCTGCAGATATGTCAAGTTTCACTTTCGTTCCTGCATGCGAGGTGAACCGCTTGAGTTCCCAGTTGACTGGCGGGACTGATGTGAATTTTGAAATACTGCCTTCAGTCTGGATTATAAAGCGTTTGTTGAATCCTTTTCTATCTAATCTGATTATATGGAAGCAAAATAACGTCATTAGCATTGAATCACGCCACACTGACTTTTAAAATTCCGGCTTGGTTGACACATGATAGTCTAGGTGCTATGAACATGTTTTGTGGAACAAACCAAGTAGATAAACAATGTCTGGATTGGACTAACAAGTTATTCAAGGGTTTAAGCATCCCATATAATAAATTAAACGAAAGTAAGTGAAGCATAGTTACTCTGAAAAGCCAAGAAGGGCTATTTTATATTTACTGGAAAAAAT